ATGATCTGTGACCGGTGATTGTTCATGTTACTACTGTAAAAAGATTATGACTTGCTGAAGTCTCAGATGACGATGGGTATTTTTAGCAATAAAGTAGTTTTTAATTAAGCTATGTACATTGTTTCTTTAGTCATAATGTTATTGCACACTTAACAGACTACAGTATAATGTAAATATAACTTATATGCACTGGGAACTAAGCAAAGTAGCTAAGGCAGTAAAAATTTAACCACCACTGTAGGGTAACACTTTTACAAGATTCATGCATTCCTGAAGTCCTGGCACAATTCAAGCCTTATCCTAAGAAAATATATCCAGAATTTCTGTTTACCAACTAAACTGGCACCATTATGCATCAGCTGCATAAATGTAGTTTATATTTCACTCAGCTAGTTGGTTTTGAAGTTATTACATTCTAATTACTTTTAAAATTTTTTGAAATGCACAATAGTACACATAAAGCTGCCTGTAGAGCAACTACATTGCATTCTTCAAAGTAAACATCATAAGCCTCTAGTCTAGCACTTCAGTTAGAAGGTTCATAAAATATCAAGATTATTTTTGATGAAAATCTTTCTTTTAATTTCTTGGGAACTTGAAAAATGACTAATAGATTTTTGAAAATGTTACCTTAATTGCAACATAGTCAGCAGGAATTATGGGGTGCTCCAGTGTTGGAAGGGGTTTCTCATCAACGTTCTCTCCAATCATCACCTTGGTGGCCACATCAATGAAGTCTACCCCAAGTGTCTTGGAAACAAAGGGGAAGGATCGAGAAGCTCTCAGGTTACACTCAATCACCTGGAGAGATAACAAAATTCAAAAGAGGAGAAAGGACGGTGAGAGCCAGTGACGACATTAATATGCTCCCTGCCCCTTGGGTTCCTGCTGTTACTGGCTGGGTCCCAGCGCTTGTGTCACCAGCCTCTTCTTTTCCTTCCCGCTGCTTGACATCTGCTAACTTGGTTTCCTTTCAGTCAGTATCTTTGAATTCTAACTTTTCTCCCAACCCTTATTCACAATTCCATCCCCACACATTGCTGACAGATTTACTTCAACACAGAATTCAAATAAAGCCTCATTGTTACTGCAAAGACTCCAGTGGATTTCTACTAGACATCAGATGGAAGTCTAGTCCTTGAAAGCCTTCTCTCCTCTTGCCTCGGTGAACCCTTCCATGTTCTCTTGTACCACCTTCCTGATCCCAGTCTTTCTTTCTTTCAGCTTCCATGATTTCCTAGAAAGATGGCCTTGCTGAACTGAACAAGTCACTACCTCTTAAAATGTGCCAAATTTTCTCACAGACGTTGTAATGTGTACTGTCCTATCTTCCCATCTTATCGAAATCCTAGCTATCCTTTAAGACCCAGCTAAAATTTCAGAGTCTTCCTTTAAGTCTTTTATGATGCACCCCAAACCCGGCATATGACACTCAAATACATGCTTGTGAACACACCTGCGCACAGACACACACACACACATGCTAGCAAACAAGCTCTCTGTAGTCCACGACTCCAACACCATTTTATCTGTCCATCCCTTCTAGCAGCTATTTGACTTCTGTTATAGTTATCTACAAACTCATCTTCTCCCTAGTCCTCACTAAGCTGCGAATCTTGAGCAGAGACTGTGTTCTGTACATCTTTTAGCCAACTTATGACTTTGTCTAGTAGGTGATGAATCAGTATTGGTTACTGATTGGTTACATTAAGTAGACTAAATTAATTAAGACTAACTTCGTTGACTTAACATTTTTTTTTGTAAATGGTATCCAAACAGCTTTCTTTTCAGAGAAAGGAGTGAAGCAAAACTTCAGTGCATATAATTTATTTCTGTTCTACATGCTCAGATTACTTTATCACAGTCACTGCATCCATCCATACTATACTGTAGACGGCAGGTAGTGATCTTCTGTGCAGCGGATCAGAGTGCTTTACAAAGCTGAGACCGACACGTCAGTGCCACCAAGAGCCTGTGCTTCAAACGAGGCAGGTGTTGTATGCTGCGCAGCGCCCCATTCTCAGACACAGTCACCTGCAGGGCTCTCAGATGCTCTGCGGCTGTGTTCACACAGATTACCAAAGGGACAGAAACCAGCACCACCTAACACAGCAGTGGTGTCCTCTCAAACACTGTGGCATTTCTTACCAAGACATCATTTCCTTTGACAAGAAACTGGACATTGAATGGGCCAGAGATGGCAAAAGCTTTTGCGATTTTTCGGGTAGCATCCTTCACCTAGATTAAAAGGACAATGATGCAGAGCTAAAGAACATTCGTTAGTTTAAAAACAAAGTGCAGCACCTTAATTAGATGTCTTTAATTTCTCTTTACAGAGAGCTACATCTCCACTAATCATAAT